ATGAGTTGATTTGTTTTGTCAAGTGAACTGTGACTCATTTATTGCTTTGGCTCAAGTCCTAAACAACCTACATCGCGTACATCTGATCGATTCATTACCTCAGCCAGATAACTTTATTAGCACGAAATTAGGTGAATCTTGTCATTGCCTGTGTGAGGTATCTGATGAAACTTGCTGCTATGATGAATTATGCCTCACCCTCAGCTAATCTTGTTGGTATCGGGCGAGATACCATATCCAGAGCTTTGACCTATCCTGGGTTTAGAGATATAGTTTCACTTGCTTGGAGGTGACATATCAGTCGATTGTTTACCCTTTGGAGAGGCATTTAGTTTTTGGTTGTTTGTTCTCTTTGAGATTCGTGTTGGTAACTTTAGTGTATGCATAGTAGTTCCTTGAATTTTCCTGCTTCTTGGTGGTGACATCTATGATAATGACTGGAAAATTATAATCTTAATAATGTCACAAAAATCAAGTAAATTTCATAATTAGTTCTCACTTTCTTTTTGTTCCCGACATGTCATATAAATAAGGCTAGGAGTTGGGTTGTTCATCGTTTGCCAACGTTTTCATGGTTGCTGAGTAGGCATTATGTCTGTAGCATAAGCAACAAGATAGTCGACCTGAGCCTATGGCCTGGCAGGGCATCTGCTTGCTCCAACATCAGTCCAGAAAAAATGGTTGTTAGGAAATAAAAGAGGCGAGAGACTGTCGGTGACCCGACCAGCAATTACACAGTAATTTAGCTTTCAAAAGATGACAAAAAACTTGACCTTATTTATACTTAATGGCTAGTGTGCAAAATCAAAATGTTATAAATTTTAAAAAATATTTTACACACTAGGGGTACTACGCAAGTATACGTATCGTTTGAAGTAAGATAAGGTTTTGTTTTAAGTCCCCAGTATCGATTCCATAGAGAAGCTAGCTAAGAAATCTCTTAAACTAATTCTAGTCTACTACTATCAAACCTTAGTTTGGAATATCGATTAAAATGATCTTTCTAACAGCTACTTTTAAATGAAAATATTAAATATAAAGATAACTTTTGTAGATAAATTTAGTTTAGAGAATTTTGAGATGTTAAAAATTACCCTTCTCATGCAATGACCTAGATAATGTGTAGAAATGAAATGCTTAAAATATAATATTATCAATGAAAAATATGAGCATACATATTTTTTACCCCTTCCCGGTGCTAGAAAATAACATTGGTGAACCTAGAGATCTTAACCAACTTGTGTAGTTGTGCTAAGTAGATTCTGACCTCTCACTTCTAGATTACCCAATGTGCCCTCTCTATAGGACCTACTAGGGACCCTTAAGATCCAAACTCTAGACTTAATTGATAAGAGAATCTAATCTTTCACCCTAGAAACATCAACTCTATGCCCACAAAACTTCTCCCAATCTATTTACACTTCTCTCAGACGATCGCAACGGCTTTGCCCAAGATTAAATGTGGTACTCACTAGTTGGGTGAAATCATAGCCCTCAAGGGTCTTTATGTTTCACAATGAATTTTAACCTCACAAGTGATTATTTTGCAAAGTCAATTAAGGTCCAGGAAAATACTATCACATTAATAAAATAAGAAAATATCTAAGAAAATCTTCCTAAACATGCATCTATTTTATTGCAAAAGAAAAGTAAAATGAAGATAATGACATCAACAGTAAAATGATTGATAGAATTAACTAATAAATTATGTGTCAATAAGGAACATATGTCTACCTGCCGTCTTTCGAGTGTATAGGTATGTTGAATGCTTACTATTCTACTAGTTTATTGCAACTATATATCACATAGAAGCATCTAATAGAAACAACTCATTAAATTGTATTTCTTTAAAAGTTGCATTGTTGCCTAAACTATTTTATTTGTCAATCGGTCAATGTGAGTACACTCAAATTGCAATATCACTACTCTCCCGAGTTTTAGTTTCACATGCAAAAAAATTTTAACATAAACTATTTTCATTTAAGTTATGTAATGAAGCAAAGGAGATATTACTCATCACATGAAAATAAAAAAATTCTATCATGAAACAAATTTTCCTACACGTGTCACTACTTCATATTAAAAGAAAAAAGTAAAGAAAATTATTTACAAATCATGAATAAAACACCACATAAAACTTTGTTTAAATCAAAGAAAATCTACTAGGAAGTGTTTAATACAATTACAAGAGAGTGAAGAACACAGTACTTAGTTTTTTTCCTCTAAAAGAAAGATGAAAATCTCTCCAACAAAGCCTTCTACTGATCCATGTGCCGCTCATACTTCCTTGCTCATATCTCTCAAAATCCTTTACCAATCTCTCCACAAAATGTGAAAATCTATATCTCCATACTCGCGCCAAAATTCTCTAATTTCTTGTCTCTATTTAAAGAGACACAAAAAACTCAATCCTTTTTTTAAGAGACGCATCTCTTCATCCAAAAGACACACCCTTTCACTCCAAGAGACACATCCCTTTATCCAAAAGCCTTAATAAGTGTCAAGATTTATTTAACCACTCCATGGAGCGTGCAAGTTGTCCAGAAGCTTTCAGAACATCCTAGAATGGCTCAGAATCGCCCAAAACCCATCCAAAAATTGTCTCGGGCGCTATAGCACCCAAAATTGGCTCTATAGTGCATGTTTCTAGTCGTGACTGGCGCTATGACACTAGTCTGGGCTCTATAGAGCCACCCTGAAGGCAACTTAATTTGAATTTTAAAAAATCTTTACTATGAGAATTTTAAATTTAATAACTTAGCCTTATTCGTTAAGAATTACCATCCCTTCCACAATCAAAACCCTGAGAGGGAGAACAAAAACTTAGGAAGAAAACAAAACCCTTGGATGGAAAAAAATGTATAATTGATCATTTTACCAAAACTTGGCTTTGAATAGAAAAATCACAACACTTAAAAATACCTTGATTTGTGACCATAACTGACAATTTTGACGAGGAAACAAGTCCCTTAATAATTATCAAACCCCTTAAATTCTAAAAACAACCAACTTTAAATTTCATATCCACACCCTAGGATAGCTCCAAACTATGCCTTAGGATAGCAAATGTAGGTGAAAACCTAGGACCACACACTTACCCTAGATTAGTCTAATATAGAATCCCTAGTTCAATTTACTAGGTACCCGTAGAGTTGTAAATGAACCAATGCACTTGACGAATAACTCGAACTCAACTCAATTATTACTCGATCATGTTCGTTCAAATTAAAAATGAACAAACTTGTACAATTTTTAAAAGCGATGCTTAAATGAACTAAAAATGAACATAATCGAACCTTTTCATTTATATTCACAAAGAAACTCATTTGTTGTTCAACAAGTAACTTGTTAAATACTCAATATTAAGCTCGATGATAACTCATATCATATATAATATATTATTTTAATAAGATTTAATTAACTAGAAATTATTTAATTATAGATTTGATAGTAATATAATATTTATATATTTATTTTATTAAAGTTTAGGTGTTGGACATGATAATACATAAAACGTGGTTGTAGGAAATGCCCCTTAAATTTAACTTTAAACCTCTGTAAAACTCACTTTCCTTTTGACTTCTCACAATTTCACGTCTTTCCGTTTCATTTGAAAAATACAAAACTGTGAGTTGCTAGGGAATTAAGCATCTAATGCAATAACGAAATATGATTTGCAAGGATCTATGAAACTCTAATCTCTTGTATATCTCTCATTTCCACTTGCTAATAAATCCTACCAAATTAAAAAGTGATGTTAAGAAAATGCAGTGTAATTATTGTAAGTTATACATGATTAAGAATAAGAATGGTGCAATAAATCAATATGAAAGATATCTACAAAATTGTCCAAAAAAGTTAGGAAAAGGATAAGTACATATAACTATGGGAAAACCAACAACAATATCTGATAGTGAGAGTTGGGTGAAAACCTAAAAGCATAATCATGTTAAAATATGAAAGATTACATTCCATAGGATCATGGTTCATGAGTTACCTTTCATCTATACATAATTTATATATAGGACGATCAGATTTGTAAAATTTTTTATTGAAATTTTTTCATGAAATTCTATACTCATTTGAACTTTTAAGCTCATTTATTAACTCGTTCAAATGCTTGTTCACTTGTCATAAACAAATCAAGTACAAACATTTAAAATTTTAAACAAGTCAAGCTTAAACAATATATAAAAACTCGATACAAGCTCAATCCAAATATGAACTTATAATTATACCAAGCCAAGTTTGAACTTCGATATACACGGCTCGACTCGATTACAACTCTAAATGCTTGTTTTTAGTTGGTAGCGTAAGAGAACCTACTATAAAATCTCTGATTGCATGAAAGTGATGCCATATTAGCTTGATTTGGATGAGTGCGAGTATGCTAAGAATCATTAATGATGAGCATAGAAAAACTAGAACGAGAAGCAAACTAGAGCTTTTATGGCCTATATATTAGAAGGGTGTTGTTTTTCATGAAATGGATATTATTTTTCTGAAACTAATCATGGATAAAAAATTATTCAAGTGAATTAACTTATACAAACTTCTAGGCTAACAAAAATCAACTTTACTTTAATGCTGCCAACAAAATGAAAATCTTGCTTAAAGGACTTGGCTAATGGTGAAATTTTACAAACCTTAATATTAAGAGGGGGGGCTCATTCGTTTCAATAATGAAACACAAATCGAGCATAACATCCGTAATAGAATAAGAGTCAGTGACTCCCCGTAGGAGCTTGGTTGGGATAAATGAGTGCGAGTACACAAACCAATAGGTAATGGACTTAGACGTGCTTAATGCTTAAAGACATAACAAGCTTGATCTTTTTATGGAAATGAACCGTGAGTTAATCAGCTGATCCAGACTCTTACTTTTAGCGAAGGCCAACTCACATTTAATGCTATCAATGTAATGAACAACCAGACTTCCAGACTTGATGCCAACGGTGTATTTATACTAAGCTACAGAGCCGTGATAATATAACCGTCACCCAACATTTTCAATCTTACAAAAATTTACAATTGATATTATCATTCTCGTACCAGGATACAATGAAATGTCACCTTCACCCCTGCATGCTGCTATAAAAAAATAAATAAATAAAAGCCAGGCCAATTAGGGAAATTATCCGCCTTGGCCTAATGGTTGAGATGTTTGTCTTTCAGTGCGAGGGAAAAAAAGTTTTTCTTCCTCACTAAAAACTTATCAGAAAAAACTCGTGTACATTATTTTTTTTTATTGTATTTCTAAAATATTCATAATACATTATATAAAAAGAAAATGCACAATGCGGTTGCCAAATTCCAAGCTAGTTCCAAGCCTTAACGAAGAAAATAAATTCAAGTTGTGTGGTTATACAATGAAGAAACTCAAGTTACCAATCCTCAGGGAGTTGGAAATATCAAGCTTTTCAAGTTCCATCTCCGCAATGATTAATGGTTTTCTTCATGCCATCTAACTGCTCAATGATGTATTCCAGTTTTTGGCAAGAAATTTCATTGGAAATTCTTGCACTATAGTCGCAATTCTCAAACGGACGATAATCACAGGCACTCTTAATTTCTTCTCTTAATGTCGATTGGATCTCCTGCAACACCAGGAAACAAACTTTACCCTCCAAAGTCTTAATTAGTACATTAACAGTTGAAGTTAGAAGACAACATATACAAAAAAATAACAAAAATACAATCCTATAAGTTTTGATATCAAAATAACAATAATTTCATGCCTTACATATGCTAATATATTTAAGATTAATAGTGAAAGATGAAAGGATAAAATGGATATTCTTGCACACCAGACACTTGAACCAAAGTAAAGGCCCCTGAATGCAAATGGTAGCAGGCTTCCTTTTTTGATGGTTCTTCCTATTCTATATTCATTCTTCTGTTCAATACCTCCTATCAAAAACACGTTCATTCAGGCCTAAAAACTAATAGAACAATTCTTAAAAATATCAAACTAACAAGTATCAAATAAATACTCGGCCTATTTTCAAAAAATAAAATAAAATAAATAAATAAGTTCTCGTTACACTGAGAGGAGCTTCTTATAACTGAGACTAACACTGATGCAGGTTTCATAAAATATTCCACAATAATCTGGCGCACAAGAAAGTTCTCCACATCTATGTCTATATATATATATATATATATAGAGAGAGAGAGAGAGAGAGACCTATATTTGTGCCCAAACCTTGGATCATTCATGGCGGCTTCAGCATAAGACCCTCAAGTAGGAGTTCGAATCTAAGCTCTAACAAGCTGTTCGAATTAGCACATAGTGGAACGTTTGGGACTTGAAGGGTGGCCCACCCCTCGGTCAATCTTGCCCACTATATATATATATATATACCTATATATGCATAAGCTGTTTCTTTAGCACATGGGTTCGGTTTAATTTTCCATTATGCATAATAGTTTTCCATTTTCTATTATTATGCTATGGGGGTGGTCCCTGGCAGGAAATATATATATATATATATATATATATATATATACAGACTATAAATTTTGATTTTCCCTTTTCTCTATTTTTCTTCTTTGACTTTCCTGAAGCAGGTACCCCGCTAAATTGGTATCAGAGCCACTGATCGTCGGTAACCATGCCCAAAGGAATTAAACACGTGGTTGTTAACAGTTCCTGTAGCCTTGAATCAATTGGGATACCACAGGAAAACCTAGTGAAGCAAATCGATGAACTCGCTTTTGAATTCATCCAATTCTCTATGGAGACGCGAAGGTAGATCCAAAAGCTCAAAATGAGAGGCCCGGCAACCACACCAGTGCACCATAATCAAAGTACCGGACATTATATGTTTTCAACGCCATTTTTTGATCCACAAGAAAATCTGGAACCAAAAAATGATATTGATGTGAAGCGTCATTTTGATATATCTAAATCTGAAGAAGTTGAAATCTGTGAGGCACATTGGCTTACAGACAAAATGGATCTGGCAGCAAAACATATAGTGATTTCGTGTGAAACTAGATATTCCTTTCTTTGATGGCCACTTTCACATTGAAGACTATCTTGATTGGGAACAATAGGTGGAAACATTCTTTGAATACATGGACATTCCAACGGAGAAGCAAGTGAAATAGCCTGCCGTTCAAAAGGTGTGGCAGGGGCATGGTGGCTGCAACTCCGTCAGATGCGAAAACGAAAAGAAAAGATCGAAGAGCAGTTCACAGTCGGTAGAGAATGAAACAACTCCTGTGAGGACACTTTTTACTTATACATTATGAGAAAATGTTATATACTCAATATCAACATTGTTCCAAGGGCTCTAAATATATCAGCGCATGCACTGAAAAATTTAATCGGCTCGACACTAGAAAAAATTTAAATGAGTTCAACAATCAATTAGTTGCCAGATATATTGATGCTCTTAAAGATACCATTCAAGATGAACTGGAATTGAATTCAGTTTGGTCTTTGCTGCAAGCAGTGAATCTAGCATACAAAGCAGGATTGCAACTCAACAGACACACAAAGGGTAATTTGTCAAGAAGGGCAGCATTTGAATCTAGAAATATTAATGCTAATTGGACACCGAAAATGAGCTCTCTTCAATTCCAATCAGCACCTAAACCCATTTTAGCAGCAGTCAAAAAGGCTTCCATTAAGGGTGAAATGTTAATGAAGGACAATCCATACTCCAAACCTTCCAATTTAAAATGCTTTCACTGTTTTCAACCCGGACATATATCAAATGAATACCCAACTCGGCAACAAATTCAACTCATGGACGGCGAAGCTAATGATGAATTGCAAGACAATTCCTCTGATGGCGGTGAAGCTGAAATTGAAGATGTAGTTGGAAATGAAGGAGAGGCTCTTATATGTGTCATTGAAAAGTTACTTCTAGCGCCACGACAGTCGATGGTTTCCCAACGACATACTATATTTCGTACTAAATGTACCATTAAGAGAAATGGATGTGATTTGCTCATTAAATGTGGTTGTACTGAGAACATAATTTCTCAATCTATTGTGCAAGCTTTACAAATTAAAACTACCGATCACCCCAAACTGTATAAAATCAGTTGGATTAAGAAAGGCATCGAAGTACTCGTTTCCAAAATTGGTGGTTTCAATTTTTCTATTGAAAAATATTTTATTTGCGAAGTACTTTGTGATCTCTTGGACAAGGAAGTTTTTCATCTTATACTTGACAAACCTTGGCAATTTGATACGACATCAAGTTATGATTATCGGCTTAATATTTATTCATTTGACTGGAAAGGGAAAAAATTAAAGTTGCTAGTATCTTCTACTAATTCCGTAAAATCTTCCACAGCAATTCAGCTTTATCTATAGTTTAAGGTCCATCACTTATGAAGGATATCCAAAAAACTTCCTTTCTCTTGGCTGTGGTGATGACAAAAACCACTAGAGGCTCAGCTTCAAACAACGTTCCAGCTGAAGTACAACTATTACAACAATTTCATGACATCAGACCGAATTACCCTCGAGATTACCTCCTCTCCATATGATTCAACACCAAACCGACGTTGTACACAATGCTTCTTTACCGAGTCTACCGCACTACCGAATGAGCCCAAAAGAGCATCAAATTTTACAAGTTATAGTTAATGATTTATTAGCTGAACAATTAATACAACATATTTTAAATCCTTGTGCAATCCCAACACTCTCAGTTCCAAAAAAAAGGACGGTAATTGGCGCATGTGTTAATGGAGCTTAGAAACCATCAAAGAAGCCATCACTAGCTCTGGTATTGGCTCTTCCAGCTTAGATAAACCATTCCAAGTTGATACCAATGCCTTGATGATTGGAATAGGGGCTCCTCTAACCCAAGAGGGCCGTCCCATTACATTTTTCAGTGAAAAGCTCAGTTTTAGTAGACAAAATGGACTGTTTACAACAAGAATTATATGCAGTGGTCAGGGCTCGTAAACAGTACGAACATTACTTCGCCAAGATTTTGTATTGTGTAGTGAGCATCAAGCCTTGCAACTTACAAAAATTTGTGAATCGCATGCTTGCACGATGGTTTTTACATAAGCCAGGTGCTCAAAACCACGTAGCACAAGCTCTCAGTAGAAGAGTTGTTCTTCTCAACTTTTTACAAACGGAATTAACTGGCCTTGAATCCATTAAAGATTTGTATGTTGAAGACAAAGACTTCTCCTCCATTTGGACACGGTGCAATACTTCACATCCAATTAAAGATTATTATATTCGTCATGGCTATTTGTTTAAAGGAAACCAATTGTATTCCAGACACATCATTACGAGTTCAGGGAGGCTTAGCAGCTCATGTTGAACATGACAATATATTAGCTCGCCTACAAGAACACTTTTTCTGGCCCTGATTACGGAGAGATGTCTCCAGATTTGTAGAAAAGGGTTCAGTTTGTCAAAATTATAAAGGCACACAACAGAATACTGGTTTATATAAGTCTCTTCCAGTTCCGGATTCAATTTGGGAAGATCTTAGCTTGGACTTCATCTTGGGTATGCCCAAGACAAAAAAAGGAGTTGATCCAATCATGGCCATCATTGACCGATTTTCAAAAATAACAGTGGTATGTAAAAACACTTTAGATGCTATCAACATAGCTCGTCTTTTTTTGTCAGGAATCGTTCGCCTACATGGATTTCCCCAAAGCATCACTTTTGATCGTGATGTCTAATTTGTTAGATGTTTTTGGAGCGAGCTTTGGAAATGCTTACAAACCACTCTCCAGCTAAGTTCGGCATACAATCCACAAATGGATGGGCGAACCGAGGTTGTAAATTGTACCTTGGTAATATGCTCCGTTGCCTTGTGCAATGCCATCTGAAACAATGGGATAACATTTTGGGACAAGCTGATGTTGACTTCATTTTCAGTGAGGTCTTAGTTTCCTACTCCCAGAACACAAAATCTAGCCTTAGGAGTTCCTTGTTGACCATCTTAACAGACTAGTAATGATGCCCACCTCCCGTAGAACTTCAAACCACATCTTGACTTATTTTTGTGTAGACCCCGCATGAGTAGTCTCAAGCACTCGACTCTTAGTTGCAAGGGCTAGGAACTAACATGTAGAGGACCCGAAAATGAGTTCCCATAGGCTCGGATAGGATCGGGCAGTTTTAGGTAAACCCTTCGTGACCCGAGCACTCGCAGACACTACAATCGGCAAACTAATCCTGACGACTCTAGATGAAGAAACAAACCGCGCCGGCGCGGACGTCGACTTTAGCTAGGGAGAACAACCATATCACTATGGTCATGCACTTGCAAAAAAAAACATGAAAATCGATGCACGTTTTTTTTTTAATTAGCGAGGCGTGGGCCTAGGCTAAATAAGAGTTAAAAAATTTTAAATTTAAAATTTTCAAATTTCAAATGGGTCAATTAATCTCATTATAATTGAGAGTTAAAAATTTTCCTTTTGAACCTGCTTGATCAACGAAATTCATTCAATTCTCCGCCAAAGTCTCGCATAACGTCTCTCTGGAATTTCCGATATACTCTTCCCCCTGACTAGGCTCGAGGCTCTTCATTCAACTCCTCACTCTCACGCTCGATCCAGCTCCTTCCGACTGGTCGCGCTTCTTCTCCTCCCCACGACG